CCTTCCCCCTCCCCACAACAGGCACCCTGTGAGGCAGGTGGGGCTGAGAGAGCTCTGACAGAAACTGCTCTTTTTCACGAAGAAGAAGAAGAGATTGGATTTATACCCTGCCCTTCACTACCCAGAGGAGTCTCAGAGTGGCTTAAAAACTCCTTTCCCTTCCCCTCCCCACAACAGACACCCTGTGAGGAAGGTGGGGCTGAGAGAGCTCTGACAGAGACTGCTCTTTTTCAAGGACAGCTGTGCCAGAACTATGGTTTGCCCAGGGTCATCCAGCCAGGTGCAAGTGGAGGAGTGGGGGATCAGACCCGGTTCTCCCAGATTAGAGTCATTCTGTGGTGTAGCAACCGAGAAGGCCCCTCCTCATTAGTCTCCCACCCACAAAACCTCCAAAAGTGTGGATTCCCCCAGTAATCCATCCCCTCCGCTGATATTCTCAGAACCCAGATGCTCCCAGGCCCCAACCATCTTCCACGTCGTGTGTTACTGCGGTCTAATGCAAAATTCTCAGTATGTGAAACTGGGTTGTAATTGTGTGGTGAGTGTATCATGCAGCCTGGTTCCTTAGCAGATACTGTTTTGATCCTGCTGTAATCTTTTAGTTATGCTAGCTTTACCCAATGATATGATTTCATGCTGATTTTATTATTATGTATATACTTTTAAAAGCTGCCTTGAAATTTTGGGTGCCAGAAGGCAGGGAAAAGAGGAAGAAAACCACACAACATAAACAGTTTTATACGATTGTTCTAATAAAGGATATCAATGACACCTGCCATTTGCCCTGCAGCCTACAGAATTAGACACATGTAGCCTAAGTGTTAAAATGCAGATTTCTGTAAATTAACTGTAAGTAATCAGCACCAACTGATGCTTCTTTTTAACAAAGTCAGAAAATGTACATATTTCAGTGTGCAGACATTCGCGGGAGAGGAGGGGTTTTGCTTTGTCGTTTATTTTGTAAAGGGAGAAAAACCAGGATCGGTACGCAGTCATGAAATAATGCAGTCTCCTTACCCGGAATGAGAGTTTCTGAATATGTGGTTATTAAACAACACATTTAAAGTATTATCTTTATTAAAAGACGTGCCCTAGCTGCTTTCCATATCTTTAATTATATTACAGCAGCTACTGCAGAGAGAAAGATCATTGTTTTGAAATGTATTGCGGCAGTTAAGGCTGCGACGGCAGAAAAGAGAGAAGTTCTTTCAGTGCTGGCATGTATGCAGACCCACAGTTCCGGATCTGGGCAATCACTAGGATTCCAGTCAGACCCAGGCCCGTAGCTACACTGGGGTATTTGGGGGCCTGGCCCCCTGACTTCCATGCAGGGCCCCCCCGCGGCTCTCTGGGCCGCCCAGAGGACACCCCATCACCACTGCTTCCCCAAACATGGCTTTTTTTGTTGTTCAGTTGCAGAGTCGAGTCTGACTCTCCGCGACCCCATGGACCACATCATGCCAGGCCCTCCTGTCTTCCACCGTCCTCTGAAGTTTGCTCAATTTCATGTTCGTTGCATCTATGACTCTTCCTAACCATCTCATCCTTTGCCGTCCCCATCTTCTTTGACCTCCAATCTTTCCCAGCATCAGGGTCTTCTCCAGGGAGTGCTCCCTTCTCATTGGGTGGCCAAAGTATTTGAGCTTCAGTTTCATTATCTGGCCTTCCAGGGAACAGTCAGGGTTGATTTCTTTTAGGATTGACTGATTTGATCTTGTTGCAGTCCAAGGGACTCTCAAGAGTCTTCTCCAGCACCATAGTTCAAAAGAATCTATTCTTCTGCGCTCGGCCTTCCTTATAGTCCAACTCTCGCAGCCATACGTGACTACTGGGAATACCATTGCTTTGACCATGCGGACTTTTGTTGGCAGGGTGATGTCTCTACTTTTTATCATGCTGTTGAGGTTCGCCATCGCTTTCTTGCTTCCCCGCATAGGCAAGTAGAGTGTGAATGATGCAAAAGTGAGTTTTTTGAATTTAACTTTAATTTTTATTTTGTGATGTCAGTGCCCCCCGACTTATTTAAAGCCCCCCCCTAAATTACAAAATCCTGGCTACGGCGCTGGTCAGACCTGAGCTAAGAACAACTGGGAATCCTCGTGTGAAAAGAATCTGGGCCTGAAGAACAGCGCGGAGCAAGAAGTCAGCGAATCCCGCTTGCTGTTGTCCTTTTGAAGGTTGCACTGACAGCCCCGTGCAGTTCTGGAGGCCCCACTCCAAAAAGGATGAGGGCAGGGAGCTGTTCCTGTTGGCAGCAGAGGACAGGACTCTCAATCGTGGGTTTAAATTACGGGCGGGAAGGTACCGGCCGGATATTAGGAAGAATATTTTTACAGTCAGAGTAGTTCAGCAGTGGACTCGGCTGCCTAGGGAGGGGGAGAGCTCCCCCTCCCTGGCAGTCTTCAGGCAGTGGCTGGACGAACACTTGTCAGGGATGCTCTAGGCTGGTCCTGCATTGGTTGGACTAGCCAGCTCTACAACTGTATGTACAACTCTACCATCGTAGGATCCTAACGTGTGGCTCCCCAGCTCTCTTGAGGAGTCGTGGCCTCCACCTGAGAGGCAAGGGGCCAACATTCCCGCTGGGGGTGGCTTGGCCCCGCTTTCCGCGGTCTCCAACTCGGGCTTGGGAAATGCCCGGCGGTTTGGCATCTGTGCCTGGGGAGGGCGGAGTCTGGAGAGGAGAGGGAGTTCAACGTGGACGCGATGCCACAGAGTCCACCCTCTGCAGCTGCCACCTTCTCCGGGGAAACTGATCTAGGCAGTCTGGAGATCAGTTCTGATGCGGGAAGGCCGGCAACCCTCCTGCCCTCTGACCTCAGCTGAGCAGCTGCTGGGCAGCCATGGAGAGGGTGGCAGCTTTTAAAAGGGGCTGCTGGTGGTGACCGTTGCCCCACTGGCAGCCGCCTCTCCCCCCCCCCAGGTGGGAGGGCTGCCAGCTCCAGGCTGGGAAATAACACGCCGTTTGATCTGGTGTTGTGACAGTTCAGCAATGGATTTTATATGCATGATCACACAGTCAACATCTGCCTCCCGTCCCCAGCTGTTGGTTTCTGGCTCAAAACTGCTTTAACCCAGAGTATTTTGTTACCAGGTCCCAAAGTGGTGTTCTCTCAGCTCTCCTGTTTAAAGCCGCATTTTCTCCCTGTGTGATCGCTCCTCTGGTGTCAAGCCACTTCCGGTTTAAACCCCCTCCCTGCTTGAAAGCTGCCCGAGGCTTCCACTTTTTGGCCGCCATTGTTTTTGTGCGTTGGCAGTGTGCGCATAGGCAGAGCTCCGCTGCCGTGTTTAGAAAACCGACATTTAAACGGTCACCTGTTTTAGAGTTTAGATGCGTTAGGGATCTCATAGAGGCCATTTTCGGGTCAAACGTTTAAAGGGAAGTCTTTTGTTGGAGGGGTTGGATTGATTCTCCCTAGTGGTTCTGCGCATGCAGCATGGTAGTTTCGCCCCCCTCCCCATTCTACAGATGAGCGCCTATCGTGTTTCCCCGAAAATAAGACACTGTCTTATATTTATTTGTTCTCAAGAAGACACACTAGGGCTTATACCACAAATGCATAGAAATCCTGCTAGGGCTTATTTTTGGGGTAGGTCTTATTTTTGGGGAAACAGGGTAGGTATACATATATATGATTTGGAAAATATTTGAACACCTGGTCTTAAAATATTTTATTCATCATGTTAAAATAAAACGTTCCATAATCAATTTCTTTTCTTTTCTTTTCCTTTTTCAATTTTTCCAATTTTTCGGAAAAAAACAAAAAAAGGCTTGAGGAAAAAAACGGGAAAAAAAGT